GAAAAGCTTGTAACTTACCTAGATCTTTACTTAGTAGTGCAATGTCGACTGCATACTATAAATGAGCCTGCCACCTGGAAGCAAATCGATGCCGCTATCCTCGCACAAGGAGGACTGAGTCACGGGGACCAAGTAAAGTATGATACTGTCTTCCCCAGGGGATTTCACGTTCTCCAGATTGTGAATTGCTGCTGCAGTGCTCGATCTGCTTGGTTTAATACCAAACTTCTTATGTGGAATTTACAAAGCGACAATTCCAAGGTCATTCAAGCATAAGTCGTGGAAACTCGACCGCGACGGGATGGTGTGAGAACCCTGACGAGCGGGTAGACTAGGTTATATGGTTGCGTGTCGTAAACAAAGAGGATCATACATCGACTTGGATTCGACATAGATCTCTGTACTGTTACCTTATAACAAATTTTACTGTATTTTTACTCGTTCTACACCTGACTTCTCACGGTTTGACCAATTGGGTAGCCGAAAGACAGAAATATAGATCGAAATGTAAAGTTCACGGTTGTGTGAACTGAACTAGAAAACAAGGGCACTCAGATGTGTGTTCCTGTGTGCGAGGGTACCTGAAAATTGGATAATCAACACACACACACTCACACACTTACATATCTGTATCAGTGCCTCTCCGTAAAGTTAAAAGAACATTACACAGCCTAAATCTTAATCATAAATTTATCGTTATCAACACTGCATGCGTGAATACATATGCCAAATGGCCCACTTGTTTTCCCATTAAATACGAACAAAATGAAGTGAAATAGGAGAAGTCAGACACGGACAGATAGTTCCAGACAGGTTCAACAAAATCACAACCTACTGGAGGATTCGTCTCTATTGGCTGTGCCGTTCTGTTGAGAGTTAACAGATTGACTTTCCGGCTCGGTCAATGGCGTTTCATTATCAGGTTTGGACTGTTCGGCTTCTACTTCCGACCCAGTGGGACTCCCATCCGGGACTGTATTGTTTCTGCCGCTCTCAGTCTGACTGTCCCCATCGCCCGGGACGGACGGTGTGCTCTGGTCAGCGGGGGGATTCGCTGTGGGTCTGCGTAATTCCGACAGTTGATGCTGCAAAGCCCGACAGAGACCGGCCAATCGTTCGGATTGCTTTTTTGATGCTGCCGCTTCCTCCGTTTTTTTCTTATGTTCCTCTACCAATTCCAACAGACTGCGTTGACTCAGCTCCCATTTGCCTTGCCATTCGACCACATCTCGTTCAGCTTGGCGAACACGTTTGGCCAACTAGATGACAAATACACAGAGACAGAGAGAGATATGGACGTGGATAAATGTGTTAACGAGAAATCAGTAAGGCACCGGAATCAATGAGGGGGTAAACGGGAGCGTAGTAGGTACAAGCAAACTCAAATGGTCCTTGGGCATGAGTAGCTCAAGATATTTGTACCATATTTTATTGAAGCTTAAGCAAATTAA